ATTCTGTTGGTTAAATCGTGGCTTACCTTCTGATCTGTCAGGAAAACCTGAGTTCAAATACAGCCTCAGGCACTTACTAGCTGTGTGACATTGGACAAGTTACTTAATCTCTGTTTGCCTTGGAGACTGCTATGTGGATAGAGTGGTGGACCTGGAGTCAGGAAGATCTGAGTATCAATCTGGTCTCAGACACTTACTAGCTGTGTGATGTTGGGCAAGTCACTTAATTTCTATTTGCCTCAATCCACTGGAGAGGGCAATGGCAAACCACTTCAACAGCTTTGTCAATAAAACCCCATGGACAGTATGGTCCATGGGGTCAGGAAGAGTAGGATACAACTTAATGGCTGAACAGCAACAAAGCTGCTTGCTAGCTATATCATCTTAGACACTTCATTTAGCAGCTGTGAGCCTCTGTGAAAAAGGAGGTGTTGGGACTGTGATCTATCTCCAAGGTCCCTCCCAACTTTACATCTATAGCCTTCACTGGTTCATTCAATTCCTTCAAGACGTTCAAGTGTTGTCTCTGAGTAATCCACTGCGCTTTAAGGCAGGAGTTCTAGGCTTGGGGTCTGTAAACTCCCAGAGCATCTATGGATAGATTTCAAGGAGTCCATGAAAAATTATATCTTTACTTCACTATAATTGGCTTCCATTGTAATCCTACATGTTTTATTTTAAGCATTTAAAAACATTATTCTGGGAAGGGGCCCATAGGCTTCACCAGACTGATAAAGGAAGCCATGACTCACACACACACACACACACACACACACACACACACACACACACACACACACACAGAGTTAAGAAGCCTAAGGCCTCCCTTTGTAGGGAAATAGATTTTGAGCCAAAAGGGATCACATGGGGTTATTTAGAGACATTGTGGTATAGTAGTAGAGCACTGGATTTGAATGAGGAAGACCTGGGTTTGAATCCTACACTGTACACTAACTAGCTGTATGACTGGGTGAGTTACTTAACTTCTGTTTGCCTCAGTTTCCTCACCTGTAAAATGGAGATAAATATGGGGATAAAATGGGTATGATAACAGCACCTACCTCCCGGGATTGCTATGAAGCTCCAAGGAGACAATGGAGATAAGGCATTCTGTAGATCATAAAAAGGTTATGTAAGTGCAAGCCATTATTATGAGGCACTATCCCCTCATTTTATAGAACCCAAGAACCAGAGAAGTCTATCAATTTGCTCAGTCACACAGGAAGCATGTAGCTAAGTCAGGATCCAGAATCAAGTCCTTTGACACTGACCTCTGCCATCTCCTCACTGGGCCACGCTGCCTCTGTCACTGGTCATTAATGGTCATTCTAAATCCTTCTTCCTTCACATAGCCTAAAACCAAAGGTCAGGGCAATAGAACACAAAGCAGCTTGTAGAATCAGTAATTACCCAGAGATGGAGGCTTTGGGACAACCAATCTGGACAGCTGAAGACTCCTGAGCCCTCTGCTTTTCCACCATATGTTCCTTGCACAGAATACGCCAATACTCAAAGGATCTGGGATTTCATTGGCACAGGACCCTCCCAGTGTGGGAGCTCTCTCCACCAACCGAGATCACATAGCTAGTAAATGTCTGAGGTAGGATTCAGACTCAGGTCTTCCTTATTTGAGTACCGTGCTCTGACAACCACACTATGACACTCCTAGAGGACCATGTTCTACAGGAAGACTTTCCCAATCCCTCCTAATTCTAGTACCTTCTCTTTGCTGATTATTTCCAGTCTATCACATATGTAGCTCATTTGTACATAGTTACTTGAATATTGTCTCCATATTAAAGTGGGAGCTCTTTGAGACCAGGGACTGTCTTTTGCTCTTTTTTTAATCCCCAGAACCGAACACAATGCCCAGCACAATTTGTTGTCACTCTGTCATTTCGGTCATGTCTGACTATTCATGACCTTATTTGGGGTTTTCTTGGCAAAGGTATTAGAGCGCTTTGCCATTTCCTTCTCCAGTAATTCTCTGTGTTCATCCAACTATAAAGTCAGAACAGCTTAACTCTTTAGTTTTAAAGAGTCGTGGGCTTTAAAGCTGAAAGGGATTTTAAAAGCCATCGAGTTCAACCCACTCATTTTATAGATGAGGAGACTGGGACCCAGGGAGGTGGTGACATGAGCAAGTTCATGTAATCTAAATTGTGGAGCTGGGATTTGAACTCAGGTACTCTGAGTCCAACTAGGTGGCACAGTGGAGGTCTGGAGTCAGGAATACTCATCTTCCTGAGTTCCAATCTGGCCTCAGATACTTTCTAGCAGTGTGACCCTGGGCAACTCACTTTACCCTGTTTGCCTCAGTTTCCTCATTTGTCAAATGACCTGGAGAAGGAAATAGCAAACCTCTCCAGGATCTCTGCCACAAAAACCCCCAAAGGGGTCATGAAGACTCAGACACAATTAAATGAGGATGCTGAGTCCAAAGTCCAGAGCTCTTTCCACCATACTAGAAGAGGTCTTCTAGACTGTCAGAGCAGCCTGACAATATTCTGTGGCCAGACTAGGACAGAGTTTATCTTCTTATAGTTATCTGCATGTTGTCTCCCTCGTTAGACTGTGAGCTTGAGAGCAGGAACCATGTTTTTGCCTTTCTTTCTATCCCCAATTCCTAGCAGCATTCTGAGCATACAGTAAACACTTCATAAATGTCTGCTGATCCTAATCTAAATGACAAAGAGAGGGACTCAATGTATGATTTTACTCTGTCTACCAATGCAGGTGGGTATCCTTTCTGCAACTTAGCCTTTAAAAGATGGCTAGAGCACTTCCAGGCTAACCAACTTGCCCAGGGTCACCAAGCCACGATGTGCCAGTGGCATGACTTGAACCCAAACCTTCCAATATCAGCTCTCTGCCCACCATGCCATACAGTCTCTCAGTCTGGATATTTGAGGAAGTGAACTGGGAGAGGGGATTGTATTTCTGAAAAAAAAAAAGCCAAATCAATCCAAAAGACATTTTTAAAGCATCTATTACATGCCAGGTACTGTGCTGAATGCTGGGAATACAAGGACAAAAAAATCAAACCATCTCTGCCTCATACACTAATTAAATTATTCACTCACTACTTTACTGTGTCTATATTTATTGCCTGTCTACACAAGCCTAAAAGTGTACAAATATTTGGCGGCATTCCACTCTACATTGAGTTGCGTGGCCTTCACCATGTGATCCTAACCCAAAGAGAAGGCAAGATTCAATTAATAACCACAACAAGAGCATTTATATAATGCTTTTAAGGTTTGCAAAGTGCTTTATGAGTAGAATTTAGTCCTCACGACAACACTAAAGGTTGAAACATTTTTTTTAGCCTGAATTCTCCAGTTGGCTTGTTTTGTGGTCAACCTTAGCAGAGCCCAATTCCCAGATTACACAGACCTAACCTGAGATGCCTAGTGTGAGGTGTCAAGTACAGTAGAAAGATTTAGAGTCAGAAACCTCAGGTTCAAATCCCTTCCCTGTTGCTTGTTATCTGTGTGACCTTGGCCAAGTCACTCCAATTCCATGGGTCTCAGTTTCCCCAGCTGTAAGATGAAGGGGCTGGACTAGAAGAGCTTGGGGGTCACTACCAGCTCTAGAGCTATGAGTCTATGATTCCACCTTTGATGCTTACTACCTGTCAGTTTTTTAGGGGCAACTAGGTGGCACAATAGATAAAGTATCAGTCCTGGAGGCAGGAGGACCTGAGTTACTAGCTGGGTGACCCTGAACAAGTCACTTAACCCTGTTTGCCTCAGTTTCCTCTTCTGTAAAATGGCAAACCACTCCAGTATCTTTGCCAAGAAAACCCTAAATAGGTCCCAAAGAGTCAGACACAACTGACCAACAGCCCCCTGTGATTCAGCATTCTAGCAGCTGACTTTCCTCATCCACAAAATGAGCCTCTGAGTCCCTTCCACGGCTCCACCTAAATTCTATATCATTTACCTAATGACACCAACTTGTTGAGATCATAACCTCAGAGGACCTGAGCCATCCCCCACACTCCTAGAGATAAAGGGGGTGCAGGACCCAGGTTCCCAAGCAAGTCCCTGTTAAAACAATCAGTTATTGTGACTGAAGAAGGACAATCTACCCAAACTGTCAGCATGACAAAGGTACAGAGAGATGGGAGAGGGGTTTTTTTTGTCTTTTGTTTTTCTTTCCCCCCCCCCCCACGGCTTCTATAGAAACAGAGGTAAAGAAAGCCCAAGAAAAGGAATAAAAAGTCTCATTTTGTAGGCCCCTCCTGTGATAATGGCACCTAGAGCCTGCACCCTGTCAGACAAAAGAGACAGAATCAGGGGATGTTCAATCTGAGATAATGGGTTTTTTTAATTGTTTTCAAATTCGGGATGAGCATTTTAATTGCAATGGTTGGGAGGTTAATATAACTTTTGTATTGGATTAACTGGCTGGAAGGATGGGGTATCAACGGTGGAAAGTGGGGGAAATTGAGGTAGAATTTTTTTAAAAAACTTTTATAATGCACTACATGATAGATTCCATTTCTGCAGCATTTTCATTATACGTGGCAGTGGAGGGAAAATGATTTCTGTGCATAATTAGCGGTGAGATCACTGCAGGGCTGAGAGTGCCAAGGTTTCTTGTTAACCCTCAGCTGACTGAAAAAACAAAGAAGAGGTCCCCTTCTGAACTCTTTACTCAAAGGATCACAGGCCCAGAACTGAAAGGGGCCTCAGAGGCCCCCCAAGGTCTCTTCTTTAGGGCTATCTAGTCTAATCTGTCCATTTTAGAGATGAGGAAACCAAGGCCAGGAAAGCAAAGTGATTTGCCCAAGTCAGAGGATCATAGTGCTAGAGCTGAAAGGCACCTCAGATGCTAACAGGCTCATTTACAGATAAGGAAACTGAGGCACAGAGAGGTGACTAAGGAACTAAGGACCATGGATCCAGAGCTAAAGGAGACCTTAGGGGCCATCCAGTTCAAATACCTCATTTTTCAAGAGGAAAACTAAGGCCCAGCAAAAGGAGATGTCTTACCAAATGTCATGCAGTCAGTAAGCCTCAGGGGTGGAGTTCGAACCGAGGTCCTCTGACTCCTGAGCCAATGAACTGTGGAAGTCAAGGTACAGAGAAGTGATGAGATTTTCCCAAGATGGGACGTGGGTACCAAATGGCAGAGACAGGTCTTGAAACTACATCCTTTGACTCGAACACCACTGATTTTCCCACCTTTTTTCACCCACCATTCCTATGTCTCCAAAGAGCCATTAGAGGTGGCGCCATTCTAGAGAGGAAGTGTATCCACTGGGTGCCAGTGCCCTGCAGCAAAACCCATCCACAGCCATCTTAACTACATCTCTTAGCATAGTAGCTGGCACACAGTAGGTGCATAATAAATGCTTGTTTCCTTCCTTTCCTTCACATAGTACCTTTGAGCCAAGCCTGGCCTTGTTTGTTTCTACATCTCCTCCCATTATGTCTTCACACAGACTTCCCTGCAATGCCCCGCAATCCCTTCTCTTCTTTCCATTCGAAAATCCCTAGCTTACTTCAAAGCTCAGTTTAAATGTCATCTTCCATCCAAGGACTCTCCGAATCCATCCACCCCCCACCATCTCCTAGCTGTTATCGCTTCCCACTGAAAACAAAAAGTATTTTTTGTCTTTATTTTGTGAATAGTTTCCATAAGCTTATCTCTGTAAAGTTGTTTCTCTTAGTAGAATGTAAACTCTTTAAGGGTGGGCACATTCACATTTGTCTTTGTATTCCCCCAGTACCTAACCCAGTGCCTGGCACAGAGTATGTGACTAATAAGGACTTATTGATTGATCAACCAATGGACCCTAATCTGTAGGAGTTCTGTAGACCAAATCTCAGAGCAGTGTAGGTAAAAGCTACAAGGGAGTGGGGATAGAACAAACTTCAGTGGCAGGGGTACAGACCTGGTTGTTAAACACCATCACACTCCTGATTAACATCCAGGATTTGTTGCTGTTTAGTTGTGTCTGGCTCTCTGTGACCTCATTTGGGATTTTCTTGGCAGAGATACTGGAGTGGCTTGCCATTTCCTTCTCCAGATCATTTTACAGATGAGGAAACTGAGGCAAACAAGGCTAAGTTCAGGGTCACACAGCTAGTAAGTGTCTGAGGCTGGATTTGAATTTGGGGCTTCCTGACTCCAGGCCTGATGCTCTATCCTCAAAAGATGTGGTAAGCTTGGTCAGACAACTGCCTCGCAAACATTCCAATACCTGTTACTCTCATCTCATTCCTAGGTGAACTTTCCTGGGAAGATAGGTGGTCCAACACACTCCAGACCCTTTAAAGCTCAACAGGTCTTCCTCAGGCCAAAGAGAAGAAGAAAGGAGAGGAGAAGAGACCTGGGCCAGTCAAATCCAAGGTCATTCCTTCTAGGCTCACCCCCCCCAGGTAGTTCCACCCTGGGCTGGGGGGAGGGATGTACTAGAAAGCCATCTTGTCTTAAGCTTTTGAATGACTCTGGTTCTCTGGCTTGATCCTTTTAAATGACGCTTAGAGCAGTCCAAAATTTCCTTAGCCTATTCAAACAAGATTGTTGTTACAATTTGACATTTAAAACCTACCACTGACCAAGCATCTTATCATTTACTTTAATTGGGATGGAGATGAGTAAGCCAGTCAACCCCACCCTTGTACTAGTTAACAAACAGCCTGGCACATAATAAGCAATTAGTAAATGGTTTTTTCATCTATTCATTCCTTCATTTCCCGGGGGGGGGGGGGGGTGAGGGGTAGTTCTATTCCCTCCCCCTAAGCAGCTCCCCCACCTAGGGGAGCCTTGGCAACAGTCCCTAGCTCTGGATGCAGACAGACCCTCTGGGATGAACTAACCTTCCAAGCCATTCTCCTTTCTTTCAGAAAAGACAGAAGAGCTGCTTCAGAACTTGGATCTTTTCCTGGTGGACCTGTCCAGAGCCTTTCTTCCACTAGAGTCCCCTGATCTCTTCTATGCTTGTGCACAGAGATGAGCCCCATTCCCAGGCCAGGGTGGCCTCTTTCCCATCTGCCGGCATTCTTCTGAGAAGCCATTCCCTTTCTGAGAACTGCATACGGTGATGGATGATCTTGACTCATGGCTGGTTTCGTAAGAGTCAAGAGTGAGAGAGAAAGGCAGCCAAAAAAGGGAATGGGATCTGGGGAAGCTGTAAGGGACCCCACTGTAGACAACATCAGAAATGCTATGCTCAGTGCTGAACATTTTAAGTGGGATATTAATAAGCCAGACAGTGAAGGGCTTCCAGATCATGCCATAGGAGACTCAGTCAAAGACAACAGGGAGGTGTAGCCTGGAAAGGAGAGTAAGATTCAGGGAGTACATGAGGGCTACCTTTGAAGCTGCTCTATGTCAAAGGAATAACGTTTGCTCTGCTTAGCCCTGGAGGGCAGAACAGGGAATGGCCCAGGGCAGTCTGTGGCAAGTTTAGGCTTAATGTAAGGGGGGAAATGCCCCAAATGAGTTATCCCAAAGTGGAAGGAGCTACCTCTGGAGGCAGTGTATTTCCCCTCCCTTGGGGGCATCTACGGAGTCCTTTTTTAGCTGTGGGTAGGGCTAGGTAGCTGCAAAGATCCTTTCCACTGTGGCAATGCTGAAAGGTCATTTGTCCCTTCTAAGACATAGTATGGAATAATGGACAGAATGGAAGCTCCTTGAGGGTAAAAATTGTTCATGTGGCTTTTGTCTTTGTATGCACAGAGCAGTCAATCAGTCAGCACTTCTTAAGTACCTGTTCTTTGCCAGGCACTTAATGAATGCTTGCCCATTGAGTCAGTGAGTGCTAGTATTAAGAGGGGAAGACCAGGCTTTAAATCTTGCTTGCCGTACTTTATAGCCCTGTGACCACGGGCAAGCACCTTCCCTAAGCTTTAGGCAAATCTCTAAGATGAATCTACTAAGTTATGGATGGGTTGAAATCTACAGTGGCTCCAAGTTGCCTTGGAAATGACTGGAATATAAACACATGTGTATGCATTATCAATAGAATATATTTATGCCTATATTAGAATTAGAACTGATACACATATACACACATATATTGCTCGACTGATATGAATTCTAATATCTAATATAGTCTAATGTATATTATAATTATATATTATATGTTATAGTAATATAATATGCATTAGTTAATTACACGTTAGACTGTCATATTTTACATATGATAAAGTAGAATTTTCATCAATCAGGCAGTAGAGACAATTTAGCACACAGCCAACTGGACTGTGCCAGTATGGCTGGGATCATAAGCACCAAGAGGCCCTTGGAAAGTGATTTTCCAACTCTCTCATTTTGCAGATACATAAACTGAGGCCAAAGAAGGGGAAGTAGCTTGCCCAAGGACACCTTGCTGACTAATGATGAAGCCAGGACTAGAACTCAATTCCCCTGTCACCAGCTAATGTCCTCTGCCTCCTCTTTGACATTCTCTTCCAGGTGTCCTGTGGATGGGCTCCCATCACAGCCAATATCCAGCTCCATTGGCTTATGGCCAAATGGCAAATAGGATTTTTATGGGCTCCTGATTTAGAGCAGGGAAGACCCTTGAAGACTGCCTAACCCAACCCCCTTTTATTTGCAGAGGAAAAGACCTAGGTGGAGACAGGTAGTGATATCCACAAGGTCCCAAAGGTACTTTGGGTAGTTGAACCAGTGGATTTGAACTCTGGTCCTTTGCTTCCAAATTCTGAGATCTCTGCCTAATCACTGGGATTCACTGAGACAGGTGGGCAGGATCAAGGCCTAGGTTAGCTGATGTGGGCAAACTCTCATCGCAGCCCTTTATGCTGGGGGATGGGTTCTTTCCTTTGCGGGGGGGGGGGGGGGGGGGGGGGGGGGGAAGCAGGAAAGAGACAAAATGTGAAGATGATGATGATTGCTGAGGAAGAGAGCAAAGAACTCCAAATATTTTTGCCACCTGAATAGATGATAATAATAATAATAAAGCAAACATTTATATAATGCTTTGAAGTTTGCAAAGCCCTTCACATGTAATCTCACTGGGTCCTCACAACCACCTCATTTTACAAGTGAGGAAACTAAGGCTGAGAAAGGTTAAATGACTGGCCCAGGATCATTCAGCCAGTAAGTAAGGGTCTGCACAGCATTTGAACTCTGGTCTTCCTGACTCCAAACCAAGCACTTGGTCCACTATGCACTAAGTAGCTAATTAATGCTAATTGAGCTAATTAAAGAGGCAGAGGTGGTGAAGTGAGATCTTGAAATCTAGAGGCAGTCTCTGACATTTATTAATGTGATCCTAGGTAAGTCATTTGACTTTTATCTGCCTCAATTACCTCATCTGTAAAATGGGGATAATAATAGCACTTACATTTTTAGGGTTTTGGTGACCTCAGGAAAGTCAGTTGACCAGCTTAGGCCTCAGTTTCTCCTTCAGGTAAGGTGAAGGGGTCAGATTCCATGACTTCTTCCATCTCTAAACTGATGACCCTACAAGCCTGTTCTATGAGTGTGGACTTCTGTACATCAGGAAAATGATGTCTTTATTTTTAACGTAGACCCATAAAAATAATCTGAGCCCCATCTGTCTTGTCACCTCCCAGGGAGAATCTGATTACCCATTGGCACAAGCATCAGTTGCACTTTGGAGCTTCTGGGGAGAAATATTTATCAATGGCAGTTATTATCATGGAGATGATCACAGTTTGTTTGGCCAGGTCTTTGCATCTTGGAAATCCTGTCTCTTTCCAACACCGCAGGGCTTCACGGAGACTGTAATCAAGATTAGAGCTTCCCATGGCTTTGCTGGAGAGGAAGACTGCATTCTTTTGTCTTGCCTCCATTCAGTGCCAGGTAGCCAGTGTTGATGAAGGGCCTACTATGTGCATAACATGCCCTGGGCTAGATGTTAGGAGATATTCCCCAAGACTCCAACAGTCTATCTCATCAAAGTAGGGATTCCCTTCTATGTTGCAGATTGCAGCCCATCTGTGCCTGCCCAAGTATTTTAGCTCTTGTCTGTATCATACATCGTAGATTTAGAGCTGGAAGGGACCTCAGAGGTCATCTGGTCAACCCCTTCATCTTATAGATGAGGAAATCCTGCTTCTTAAACTTACTTGTTGGGTGACCACGGACAAACTGCTTCATTTACTTGAATCCCTTTTGTCCCTTCTTTATAGGTATGATAATACCCATGGTGCCTGCCTCACAGGGATGGTAGATTTAGATCGAGGTGGGGCTTCATAGGTCTTCTAGTCCAGCCCTTCATTTTATAGGTAAGGAAACCTCCGTTTTGACCGAGTGCCCAGCTCAGACATTCTCCCTCCTTCCCTTCCCTCCCAACTCTGCTCCCGAATCTCCAGATTCTCCCAGCCATCCCCCCACCCCACTGCCAACCCCTTTTATGGATTTTGTTTCCCTGTTAGAATGTAAGCTCCTTAAGGGCGGGGACTGTCTTTCTTCTTGTATTTGTATCACCAGTGCTTAGAACAGGGCCTGGCACACAGTAAGTGCTTAATAAATGCTGCTTGCCTTGACTTTAGGGGTGAGCTCCAGCACCAGCTCCTACACAAAACCTTTCCAAACCCCACCCCCCGTTGCTAGCACCTTCCTCTGACTCCAGATTTCATTGTATTTATTTTCTATGTCACCCAAGCATATCTGTTTGCCTCCTCTGCTAGAATGTACCTTTGAAAGCTGAGGCTATTTCACTTTTGGCTTTGTGACCCCAATGCTTAGCATATACCTGGCACATGGTAAGTGCTTAATAATTGCACAAGGAATGCTAAATTGTATGATATCTGTCAAAGTAACAGGCACATAGTAAAAACTCCCTAATTATTTATTCAGTTGGACCAGTAGGTGAGAGGCACCACATGGTCAAGAAGATAGATAGCAGTGATATTGTATTAAGGAATAAAATTATAGCCAAGGTGGGGAACTCCTGTCAGCCTTAAGTTTCTGTCATATGTGTGATATATCTCTTGTGTATAGGAGATAATAACAACAACAATAATAATAGCCAGCATTTATATAATGCTTAAAGTTTGCAAAACTCTTCACAAAGATGATCTCACTGATCTTCATAACAATGCTGGGAGATAAGTGCTGTTATTATCCCCATTTCACAGATGAGGAAATGGAGGCAGACAAAAGTCAAATGACTTGTCCAATACCACAATTAATAAGTATCAGAGGCTGAATTTGAACTCAGGTCTTCCTGACTCTGGGTCTTGAGCTCCATCTAGTGTGCCCCCTAAGTAAAAGTATCAAATAAAGACCAAAATGTTTGTATTAAACAGCATACATACCTGTTTGTACATACATACGTGTACATATATGTGTTCATGTGTGTTTGTACGTATAGGTATGTGTGCATAGATATGTATAGACCTGTATGTGTGCATGCACACACATAAGGATGAAGAATTACAGAATTTCAACCTCAGAGGTCACCAGAGCCATCCCTACCCAAACAGGAATGCCCTCAACAAAATCCCTGACAGGAACATTGTGCGTGCAGACCTCTCACACCCTAATTGTGGACAGCTCCAATGGTTGGGATGTTTTCTCCTTTCCTTTCCTTTCTCCTTTCAAACCTTCCACTTTATAGCTTCTCTTCATTTCTCTCATCCCAGCTCTCTGGGGCCAAGTGGAGCAAGGCTAATAATCCCTCTTCCACATGACAGCCTTCCAAAAGCTCTAAACAGCTGTCATGTCCCCACTCCCACTCCCAAGTCTTCTTTTCCCCAGGCTTCCCTTCCCTTCTACCCTTCTGCTCACATTACAAGCCAACTTCCTTGTCTTAGACCTTGTCCTTGAATGTTCCTTACTCCTCATTTGAAGACTTAGGAAGCTTTCCAGGAAAAAATAAAACATTCTTCACCATCCTGTCCAATGAAGACCGCCTCTTGCTCAATGTACTCCTGCATGTTGTAAGGGGTCTCATGGCACTGGACCTCTTGGTACATCCGTGAAGAGCTAGGAAGGACCACCTCCCACAACCTCATCATTTCACAGAAGAAGATACTGAGGCAAACGGAGAT